TTCCCCCCTTAATTTTAATAGAAGCTTCAAATAGAGATAGAGCTGCCTGCAGTTCACCTGTGTGACTATTCTTCTCTCTCCCCTCTGACCAAAACTGCTATGAAAAGTAGGCTGCAGAGTAGAGGCCACGGTTTCAAAAGGTGAATGCCTAGAGCTATGTATATACAGCTATTTTCAGGCACTTTTAACTGGGTGGCCTGATTTTGAGAAGTTCTGAGTATGCACCACGCCAGCAACGTACATGCCCCGTAACTTCCAAAAAGTAAAACCTGACTACCTATGTCGATATTGAATTGTAAATACCAAGTTTTCTGCTCAACAGCAGATCTACAATTTCTGTTAAAACAACACCTACACAGATTGCTCGGCATCAGAGACTCACTATAGCAGAGTACGTGTATGAATATCTGGAAAAGAGGTTCCTGGCCAGAAAAATGTGGTATCTAGAGGAATGAGACATGCCGATGAGTGTCAAGAGAAGAAAGAGATGCATGGGGGTGACACGTTGTGCCCAAAGTCATGCAGCAAGTCAGACCAGCACCAAGCAAAAAACCCTGAACCCCAAATCAAGTGCCTACCCCTTTACATCATGCTGAGCCTCTCTCCCAGTCACACAAGATACATGAATATGTTCATAGAGTATTTCTAAGACAGACAGAATCTAATAAAAAGAAATCCAGTGAGAAGGGAAGGATGCCATGACCTGTTCTGTAATCACCACCAAAATCAGAAAGGAGCACATACAGCAGCAACAGCACCTCATGTAATAGAAAACAATCAAACATAAGTTATTTCAATTACATGCTGGGATGAAAATATCATTGCTAAAAGGTCTTACTCTGTTTAGAGTGTCCCGAGGGAATAGTTCCCATGCTTTAAAACAGACTGTTAGGAGAGAGAAAAATTCAGGAGTCAGATCTTGGCTCGCAAAGGAGTTCTCTCTTCGAGGAGAACCCCATGAAAACTAGTTTCTGTAGAAATTTGAGATTTCCAGTTAAATTTAAGAATCTAAGAACAAGAAGACTTTAAAACCATGATAAAAAGCCAGGTGGAAGTGGTTAAAGAAATGAACTTCAGGGTCTGCAGTATCTGAAGTTCAAACATTATCCACGAAACCTCTAAGTCACTTGAGACAGCAAAGGAAGCTAAGCAGCAGATGGGAACACTAAGTAGAGCACCAAGTGCGTAGCATATTTACCTCAGTTTTGGTTTAAATTCCTCCAGTTCAGATTATTACTTGTAAGGTATGTAGGGAATTTTAAAAGCTTTTAATCTTAAAACTAAAAAAGTAACGTAAAAAGGTTAGTTAGTGCCTAGTCACAGTGATTATCTGTTACCATAATTTTAAAAGTCAGATCTTAAATTCCAAGGCTGTAGGGTCACAGCTTTTCAACATAGTATCAGAGAATTTAGTTATTTTTTCAAGAGGTTAAAGCTTAAAAAAAGGCTGTCACAGCTCCAACCACACAATACCCTGCTAAAAATGAAGTTTCCATTAAATAATGCTCCTGATCTTTCACCAAACATTACAGAATCTGATCTAGAGCACTTTTATATCAGAAGCAATTCTTCACAGATAAGTAAACAAAGCAATACAGCTGCTGGGAGAACTCAACTGCTATACCAAGAAAATCTATCCAGTGATTTATTTCAAGATAGACCTGCCAGCTATGTAGGACACAAGTTGGGAATGCAACCTCTTTTTTTTCAAATCTTTTTTAAAAGACTCAGAAGTGAAGATTTCAGAATGACGAGCTCTTTCAGAGCTTGCACTCAAAATAACAGAGAACAGGAAAAAGAGAAAGTCGCAGCCCTGGTCAGACTACTGCTTCCAAAAAAGAATCCATTAAAACCAATGCTAAAATATCTCTTAAAGCACTTCTTTTTTTTATTTTTTTTTTTTCCCAGAAGAGAGTCCCACCTCCTTCCAAAGGAGATATCACTATCTATACTGTAGAAAATAACAATCTCTGCGAGTCACCTCAGCAACTGCTAGTTGCATGCTAGCACACCAGGTTCAAAGTGAATCCTGGAGTAGGTTTCCCAGAGAGGTCATGCAGTCTCCATCTGTGGAGATATACAAAACCCAACTAGATGAGGACCTGAAGAACCTGCTCTGGAGGATCCTGCTTTGAGCAAGGAGTTGGGCATTATGATATCAAGCAGTCTCTTCCAACCTCAGTGATGCAGCGAATCTATGAACCTTGTATTTTTACAAGGACTGAGTGGTTAAGTGTCAGTCTAGGACATGGAAAGTCCAGGTTCATCCCTGTGCTTTCCCTCACGCTACACACACAACTCTTGTCTAGTTACTAATTCTCATCCACCTCAGTTCCTTCAGTGGCCACGGACTATGGTAGCAGAGACAAGGAGAGTGCCACAAAGCATCTTTTGCAACCCATTCTCAGGAGGCTGGATCAAAGCACTTATCACTCACACACTTGTCTCAATAAAGAGCAAGCTACAGGATGTTCACAAAACCTAATGATGTCCAGATGTTCAGTTTCTCAGATGTTTCACTTTTTCAGGAAGTATGGGGAATTCACTGTCAAAAGACAGGCAAGGCATTAACTTGGACATGTGAAAGATGACGACATTGAAAATCAAGTTATTTATAGAACATGGGGCCCTACTGCTGCAGAACGCAGTCACCTCAGCAACATCTGCCATTTTCAAAGGTGCAGGCAACATAGAACAGGAAGGATTCAGCACCATATAAAGCGGAGTCAGCAGAGCATGTGGTCATCCTCCCTTCAACCCAACTGGTCCAAATCTTTAGTTATACAGTTCTTGTAAGGTCCACAGGGTTGAAAAGAAGTGTAAACTGAAGATCATAAACAAAGACTACACTTCATACATAGTTACTTTAAAAAATAATTCAAGTAAGAGGTAATGATCACCTGAATCCAAAACTGGTTTGTAAACAAACACTGAATTTTCTTTTGAAAGACTTTCAACACCAGAAGATTTCTCCTACACAACTACTCAACCCTCCAGAAATTATTGAATTCCTTTGGAAGAAACAGTGTCTTGCACTGAACTTAACCCATCACATCAATTTTGCATCATGTGATGAACCAGGCTCTCTAGTTACAGCTAGAGTCTAGGATATTATTTTCTTGGTAGTGACTTCCATTTTGAAATTCTAGAACAAAAAAGATGTGACTCCTAAGACCTCATGCCATTCACAGATGTATTACTTCCTGTTTGAGTCTAAGTGCTCATGGCCTTGGGATAAGACATGACAGCTGCCAAGCAGAAAACACAATTTAGCAGGTAAAAAACCCACAACGCTGTCTAGAGGGATGTAATTTTTTTCTCACTGCAGATCAGTACGTGTGGGAATACCGAGGCTGATCTACTTAGGCCAGAACGAGAAGTTAGCCAATTACTCAGCTCTCCTGAGATCTCCTCTGCTAAATATGAAGTTGGTTCAAGGTCTCTGTCATGACATTTCTGGTGATGAGACAGAAATAAGATGAAATGAGGAGAGGGGGGCACAGGGGTGACACAGGGACAGGGGAAATATGGTCACCTAACACCATGGCAGCAGCCAGTGAGAACAGGTGAAACTTCTCCCTACCTTATTCCTCAACTTCATTAACAGTTTCTCTTCAAAGTGTCAGTTTTAACTGAATTCACACCTACTGTGTTCTTTTTCTTCCTTAAGTATTTATTCCTTTTTTTCATCAGTTGATCAGAGGAGGATGAAATATGTGCAAGACAAACGATTTGAAAAAACTGGATGCTCTCCCAAAGATATCGTTCTCATAGAGATAACAACGATACTGATAGCAATTTTTTAAAAAACAAAGCAAAACACAAAGAACAAAAGAAACCCCCCAAAAACAACAATCCTACTGAATCTCTCTGCTGCTAGAACAAAATCCCAACCACTTCCTCAGAGCACAGGTTTCTTTCAGCATCTCTCCCACTCACAAACACCAATAACCACTCCAAAACAAAATCCTTTTAAACTAATTGTACATTTTCTTCTACAGAGATTCCAACAGACAAGGGAGAGTGCTCTGAATGATTAGTCTTATTTTTACATAAAGACATTGCCGATGGGGCCAGGCAGGTCAGATGCAAACAGTGTGTCTACAAATCCACAATTAGAAAAATACAAATTGATAAGCTTCTTATCTGCCCATCAAGATAGTGATAATACAAGCACAATGCAAATTCCCATAACGCCTTATTAGAACATAATTCGGCAAAGCAATTTCCCCTCAAGTAAAGTCATCTAACATATGAAACTTACTTCAAGAGCTACTCTAGATTTAAACTCAAAAGCCAATAAATGTTTCACAATATGACAGTAACAGAAGTAGAAAGGGAATGAAAGACTAACTTAATGAAACAGTTACAATGGTTAAGATAAAATACTTGAATTATTCAGATGGAAAAGAGATGACTTCTAAACATGGGAATACAACTCAAATGATGACAAAGGCAACAGTCTGTGTCAGGTAACTAGCCAACACCAGAAGTGCATTTGTGTTCCTCCTAGCAATTAACTTGTGCAATAGGCTTCCAGTGCTTCTCACAGATCTTAGCTATTTTTATAATTTAATTTCTTTCAGACCTTTCCAAAAACAATTTTTCTTCCATAAATTGCCTCCAAATTCAGGCCTTGGGATTCTTATGACAAGTTGCTAAGTTTGTACAGTCATTTCAATTTACCAGCACACACAAAAATACAATGTTTTCCAGAAGATTTCTGGGAGTGCTCACTGTAGTAAATATGCTCCCTATTAAATCCACATCGTATTTTTAATCAGATGCAAACCTCCTTTGTGTACATGGAAAAAGAGCAGCACGGGACTCGGGGGCAATCCTGTGACACAGGAATGCCTCAGTGTTTGTGCTGCCACGAAGAGACATAATGCAAGGGGCCCAAAATCACTACTTCAAACCTCACATCCAGCCTCCAGAAGCCAGCTGCTCCCTTCTCCAGCCACAATAAAAGCCTTCAGGGAGAGCAGGTATTGGCCTACCTTGCATGTATGCCTCTATTTGCCGAATTAGCTCATAAGACTTGGATCGGTCCAGAAGTGTACGAATAGCCGGAAGAGGGTCCAGGATAATGGTTTCTGGATGAGCATCAATATACTCCTGCAAAACAAATACATAGGGAAAAAAAAAAAAAAAAAAAAAAAAAAAAAAAAAAAAAAAAAAGAAAAATGCATTAGGTTGGCTGAAGAGCGTGGAAAAATAATGAGATGGGGAAAACAACAAACATTAAAAACCTCAATGTCCAGCTTCTCTTTGAGGGGAGGCAAATGGACACTGGCAACGCAGGAAGTCACCAGACAGTCTAGACGCTGACATTTGAAATAAACACAAACATGACAGCTAACTGCTTTAGGACGGCAAATTTCTCCTGTGGACTCACCATCAGCAGTGAAACCTGCACTGCAACCACATCAACTCAGAAGGGAGCCAGTGGCAAAGTGCCACAGGAACAGCTGTGAGCAGGGCTGAGAAAAGCAATTAGGAGAAGAAAGATGACACACTGCTATCTTGGGGTCAGCCTTGCATTGAATTACTGCACGTGAACATTGCAACCATCTGAACTAAGCTCAGAACTACATCTGGGTTCTTTAATGTTGTTATTACTGCTGTCCTCTGGCTGGGCTGAAGACAATGTTAAGAGCCAGACGATAAGGGCTGGATTTTTTTTTTTTTGGCAGAGCTGAAGAGATTGCTGCTTCACTGTATCTTCATTGAGTTTTGAAAGCATCTATCTTGCTGTTTCTCTACGTTCATACTCTCCTCTCCTGAACACAAGAACAAAGCAAAGTTTATGTTCTCATGGATCTTCATCTTGGAAACTCAAGTCCCCATCCACTGACGCCGTGACTGCTCTACTGCATCTTGGCCATGAACACAGACACAGCTGCCAGGTATTGCCCTTGCAAACCCAACAAAACTTCCTTCTGTTTCTCAGAAGAGAAGCAGAGTTCCTTCATCATCGCCCCAAACTGGCTCCATGAAGTCAATGGGACAAACAAGCATCCATCTTAACATTTCAAAGTTAATATCTGCCTTTGTTTCACCCAGCTTCCCAAAGCCATCTTTACGTTTCCACTCATTTCTCTAAATCCATTCATGCAAATGCATGATAAATGTTCCTGCCAGTAATGGACTTCCATGAAGTCCTACTTCCCTTCAATTGGTTACTTCAGAGAACAAAACATACTCAGGAGTATGACGAGGTGGCCTCAGGAGATGCATTTTGCTGGATACTGAGTTGGAGAGAGGAGGGTGGCATCACCTGTTCCCAGGAAGTAATTTTGCTCCAGACACTGACTGGGGAAGCAGACTCCTTCCCCCCCACTCCTCCTAACACTGGCCAGTTGTTGCTTCCTGCTGACTACATAGTCTGAACGGATGGCTTGCTAAAAGTAGATTATTCTTTTGAGGATAAGAGGATCCAGCACTGGGCTTCGATGAACCCGCGCTGCATCATCCACAGCACACAAGCAGCTTTCCTTCACAGGTCATAAGGCACCCTTCGATGGCAATATGTGTGTCTGACGTATTTAACAATCCCTGCAGAACACAAGAATTCCCCAAAGACATGTTCAACCTTGCTGCCACTTGGGAAAAGCAAGGGACAGAGCCTCTTGCACAGTCAGTCATCAAGACTGTCAGACCCAGCTGTTGTCTTACCCTTGCAGTATAGCCTGGAGAAAAAGCTTCTTCAGCTCACCAGAGCAGAATCTGGGTTCATTTCAAGTTATTAATACCAAGAACATACAGAGAACAGTTTCCATGAGCCTCCTGCCCCCAGTACTTCCAAGAGTCTCAAGCAGAGCAGTCAGCTTTCAAATACAGAAGAAATTTTATTTTTTAAAAAAGATGAGTAACTCATTGCCTGATGCATCTTAAACACTTATGTGTGTCTATGCATATGTGCCCTTTTACACAGCGGCTAAAAGACACTTTGAGGAGCTAGGATGATCCAGTGATTAGGGCATTAGCTTAACCTTGCTGATCATGAAACTGTATTCGAGCATCTCAACGTATCTACAGCGTAACAAGATAGCTCCTAGCCCCTCTACACCTCAGCTTAAAAGGTAGGGAGCTACCACAGTGTGCATCTTCATGAGCACATTGCAGACAGCCACTACCGCAGCGGGCAAACACGCATGGTAACAGGACTGGAGAAGCCACAGCTCTGAAACGTGACCTCAGCAGAGATCTGACAGCAAACATCCTGCGGTGTTTCTGATGCGTGTACCAGCTCTTCCTTTCACACCGTGGTGACAACCCTTTGGCCTCAACCAGTCTCTGGTTCCACCCTGAATTCAAGATCCCCATACTTGAATCCTGGGCCAGGCCCCTACTCTGTATACACTAATCCTTCCCCTCGCACATACATCTGTCCTGCTTGTGCCCTCCACCCCCGTCACTCCCCTCCAAGGGTTTTCCCCCTCCTCTAGCTCCTTGTGCACCTTCCCAAATCTTCCTGATCTTCACCTCGGCATTGAGGACTATCCTCACTTCCCTGGGTTTGATGTGTTCCATTTGCTATTTTGGCTCATGTTACTCTAAGTATTTCCAGAGGGAGCCTTGCTTTTTTATGCTTTCTGTAAGGAACTTCACAGTATTTCATTTATAAAGATAATAGCTCTAAACCGTATTAAAATATCATCCAAGCAGTAAGCCTGACACAGCATAACAAAGTTTATCAGGAGTGACGGCATGATCCCAAGGCCATTCTCTACTAGGCAATGTGTCAACAGAAGCGAGCATCTTAGTTGACTTTCCTGCTACTCATTTCTCATCCTGTTGCCTTAAGAAGCCTCCAAGAAGCTCTGTAAGGTAAACATGAAGTAACTGATGAAGATGAAGGAAGTGGGGCCTGTTCTGCAGAAGCCATTTAGGGTCTGGAGGACTTTATTAAACTACTCTAATGTTGAGAAGAAATGCAGAGACTGGGACCTGAAGTAAATGTCTTAGAGCTAATCTGGGGATGAGCTACAGGTCTCTCATTTTAACTGAATCCAGAAACGGCCTTCCCTTTTAAGCAAAGGAGTCTGTTAATGCAGAACAAGGTCAATATATTTGTATAGGTCATCTCTGAACATAGCTAGTGCTTAACTGCTGAAGCCGTTTAGGGGACAGGAGCATCAAGTCCTTATAACTCTGCAACTCTTCTCACAGTATTGTGTGTTGCTTGGATTTCCATCAAAAAGTCTTAACTCTGCATTCAAAACCAGAACCATCATGTTGCAGCAGGATCCCCAAAGCAAATTACGCAGCCTCCCCTTGGGCATGTATGCTGCCAGCACGTTCCCAGTCTCCCACACCTCACACCAGTACATCACCAGCACACGCAAAAGAAAGAGTTCCAATATCTATGCACAGAGAACTACCCAAAATAAATAAATAAATAGTTTTAAAATCCAAACCTAACAAGAAAAATCTATTTTGTTAGCTTCACAGGAACAATTATGGTAGCCGATCTGACACCTTTCATAAACTTTGATTCTTTACTAGGAACCGATGCACACTCAGACATCACGTTTTACTGAATATATAACTGAAGATCACTTAACAGATTGGAAAACCTTTGATGTAGACTAAGTAGCAGCACTCTTCCCATGACACTGAATGGCTTCACCACCAAAAATACAGATCTAGGTGAACATGAAGTGTTTGTGTCTAAGAAATTTGATAGCAGATAAGCTACTATTGAAACGCACTTGAAAATAGAGCAGTTGCAGAAGGAAAAGAGAAACCCTGAAGCTAACAGATAGATTCCAGTACAGAACAACCTTTCAACTTTGAATGTTCAAATCTCCCCTGGTCATTCCAACAAAAAAACTCTGCACTCTCCTTGGGCGGATTTACCCAGGACTGGTATCCAACAGCAGACTCTAACAACCCAGGCAACAACCTGGAGGATACTTAGGCTTCCCAACAATATTTTGAAAGGGGTCTGTCCTTGGGCTGCAGTTCAGCTTGACCCAGACAATGCCTATGTTTTCTTCTTTCTAATCTTTGACATAATAAAAGCAAACAAGAAGAAACAAGGACTTCTGGCAGATCCTCCTTTGTTTGTATTCCAGGCTTGGCATTCAGTCATGCTCTGTACCAGCCCTGTTACTGGCAGAAGGCCAGCAATGGAACTTGAAATCAAAGAGAGACCAAGTATTTCATGTTCCTTATTAAATACCTCTGGATATAAGCCAAAGATTTAAAAAAAAAAAAAACCTTTTCTTGAGAAGCCTGTGTAAAAATGAGAATATAGTTGTTTGTCATTTCACCAAAAAGGTAGCTAATTTTTTTTTTTTTAATATTTTAACAGAAAGTTGATACAGTATCTACTGCAAATATTAGGTCATTAGATAAGAGAGACTCACTGACTTGATTTTATTACTAAGTAATAAAACTTCTATAATCTTTTGTTTAATATTGAACAAAGTTCCATATTTAAAAAAAAAAGTTAGCAAACAAAACAATAACAGCGTTCAGATTTGCGTTTTCCCATGTACAAAAGCATGATGACCACTTGTAACAACAGACTGACAGAAACAGATATAAAGGCAGACACAAGATTGTCTAAAGAGTTCGCATCTAATTCAGACTTAAAAGTTCCTTTTTGTTGTCTTGGGCTGTGACAGCCTCTTTTCACTGACACCTTCAAAAGGAAAGGTGTAGGCAAGTCGGATCTTGAACAAACGCTCATCTCAAAATTGTTTGTCCCTAAATCTAGAAGGTTCCTGCAGTGGTTGGGAGGGATGAGGGAGGCAGCAAGGGGAAATGGTGACAGATTTCCCCTGTTACATTTCTAATCACTGTGCATCTCAAAGCAACTTTCTGAGAACTCAACTTCTCTGTTTTGCTTCCAGAAGTCCACCACTGCTTCACATTGCAAATACCTACCCACGGGAAGCTATCCTACCAGTTAGCACTTGAGTGAAAATTTTTAGTTAATTTTACCTGCTTACAAGGCTCTTCCAACAAATGTAAGACACAATTATTTTTCAGATGGGAAAAACACAGGTATTGTCCTGGCAATTCAGGTACAAATAGAGCATTTCAACTGTGTGTCTCACTCTGTCCCTCCAATAAGAAAAAGAATTACTAAGATGTGATAGTTT